TTTCAAATGTATTCATTGTATGAACATGTTTTAATTGGGGGGTGGATGTCACATCCTCTAGGGGGGGAAAGATTTTTTTTTTTAACATTTTTAAGTAAAATGCTTCAATCTGGTGCACTTTGAGCACATAATTACTAGAGACCTGATAGGAGGTACAACTCTAAAACACCCATATGAAAAAGATCGGTTTACATTTTAATAACCAAATAAGTATGTGAACATAACCAATAACCCACAGCCAATAACAAATAAATGTAACATATTTATTTATTTTATCCTTATTATTAATATTGTAGTTATTAAATGAAAATCACTCATCAAGTAGCTTCTCTTAAAACTTTAAGAAAAGAAAGTGCAAACGTGGACACAAATATAGCCAACGGAGCTCTTACAACTGAGGTTATTGCAAATAAATTAAGATAATGAACAACATTACACACACTATAAATCAAATGAAACAGGCAATCAGAACAACACGTCTCTGCTATGTTATTGTGTCCTTTAATTAGTCCACATCCTTAAAGTCGGACACGTCTGGACTTCCTTGCTGCAAATTCATTTATTGTATCGTCAAATGATATTTGCCCCGAAACCTTGCGATTGATGCTTATTAAAGCTAATCCATTGAGGCGTTCTTGAGCCATTGACGACCTCAGGTATGTTTTAATGAGTTTCAATTTGGAGAAGCTCCTCTCCCCAGCAGCAACTGTCACTGGAATAGTGACAGCGATCCTGAGGGCCACCCACATATTTGGATACACTTCGTTCATTTTCTTCTCCTGTAGGAAAGTCAGAAGTTCCAGGGTGGTCATGTTGGCTTTTGGCAAAGCTGGGAAATTCTGCATCTCCAGTGCAAGTTCCCTCTTATCCAGGTCTGACTGTCCACCCCAGCTCAGGGTGTTGCTGAGTGTTTCACACTGCTTTGTCAGATCTTCCTTTGGCAAGTCAGGGAAGTTGAGTAGCACCCCAAACGTTTCCTCTACTTCACCTAAGGCCTTGAATCTCTCCTGCAGTGATGCAATGGAAACATCCAACCCACAAAATTGAAAAAATAAACTTCGAGTTTCTTTAGTGCATCACTCACTTGCTCCTCCGGGGACTCATAGGAGAACTGTCTCTTGGTTGTTCTCAGCCTCTTCTGCTTGAGAACAGCTTCCACATTCATTTGGCCACAGATGTCTTTTGGCAGATGCTTGGGCAGAAGCAAATCCATTGCTTCTGTAGCTGACCAAAGAAACTTCTGTTTTTCTCAGGAGGTCAACAGCAATATACAGCTGCATTGACACTGATTGCAACATTTTGCTGACATGTTTGATGTTGGTCAGGATGTCATACCATACCACAGTGCATATTGCAAAGCGGTATGATCCAACCTCTTCAGCCAAAGATTGTGCCTCAATTTTTACAACTCCATCTGTGGCTTTATCCCTCACCTCTAGAAGTGCATCTCTGACTTCTGCAGCCTGATACCTTACAGCCTCTATGCTGTTGATCCGACTCTCCCATCTGGTATCAGACTATGATTTCAATGTGATGTTCACATGGCTTTTCTCACTGTATCACTCAGTGCTGGGCAGTCAGCAGGATCTGAGGGGACTGCAATGGTGGACTCAGATGGGCCTGGGCAGTCAGCAGGATCTGAGGGGGCTGCAATGGTGGACTCAGATGGGCCTGGGCAGTCAGCAGGATCTGAGGGGACTGCAATGGTGGACTCAGATGGGCCTGGGCAGTCAGCAGGATCTGAGGGGACTGCAATGGTGGACTCAGATGGGCCTGGGCAGTCAGCAGGATCTGAGGGGGCTGCAATGGTGGACTCACATTACTGTGCTCGTTATTCCTTCACCTGCAGGCAGGCAATCCAACATGCAAAGAAGTTATTCATGCTTCAGTTTTCATTATTTATCATAATAATAACAATAATAATAATGACAAAAAGTAGTGTATTAACGATTACACAGAGACCATAAATGTTTGGCAAAACTTACATTCTTCAGAGTGTGATGTACATGGGAGATCAGATGTTCCTTCTCCAGCAACTGGGGGCTTTTTGAGGTATTTCTCAAGTGCAGCTGGAAAATTATAGGGTAGATATTAGCACATTACAAGCAAAAACATGTATATACAGTCAGGCAAAAATAACTGCTGCAATCTGCCTCAGCTGTATGCAAGTTCACAACTGGCCTATATAAAAGTTAGGTCTGGACTTTGAATCAGGGGGTAGCAAGTTCGAGTCCCACTGCAGTCAGCATGTCGTTGTGTCCCTGGGCAAGACACTTCACCCCAAATTGCTCCTGTGGGAATTGTCCACAGTACTGAATGTATGTAAGTCGCTTTGGATAAAAGCGTCTAACAAATGACATGTAATGTAAATAATAACACATGCCCATATTGGTTGGTCAGCCTCACTTTATACAAAAGAGCAGTTATCCAGATAGCTTTCTTCTGGCTAACATTCACATTATTTCGTTACAGAAGCATATAAAACAAAGCATTGCACAATGATTAGACATTAAGAAGAGCAGAAAATAAACAAATTCTAAAATATAATAGAAAATAAACAGAAAAATAAATATATATATATATAGGCCTACACACAAGTTGACCGTGAAAATAAACTATCTGACAAATTAAACACTATTGGAGGATCAATTTACAGCTATCACAATAGAAAAGTAGTATATTATTTACAAAAAGATTATATAAGAATAATAACACGTAAATAAAAACTTTAAATCATTTGTATTTATCATTCTGTATCAGAGGCTCGCGGCTAGCATGGCATCAAAGCTGTATCATGGGCAGGCTACCTCCTTAGCTAGCTAGCTAGCTAGCTTAAAATCAAATGTCTAACGGTATACTGACTTTTTTCTTTTTTACACAAGCCGACGTACCTCTGTCTCTGACTTTCGATTCCTCCTGTTCTTTTTTCCGTTTCCTTCCCGTTGCCCCTGAAGGCTTGGACCTTTTCATAATGCTAATTGTTTGCCTTTTGCTGTTGCATCGTTGCAATCTCTGACACTTTCAGCTGGAGCTGCCGCGTCACTTTGGCTGTGAGTCGCGGCCCGTGGGTGCCAGATAAGCGACCATCCCCCCCTTTCATCACTTACAGTTACAGCGCCCATCGTACAGGGCAAATGCTAAATGTTGCCGCCGGCCCGGGGTGCAAAGGGTGTTTACTTTATTCAATTATTAATGTAAACGTATTACATCAAGGGCATACAATTAGGCAGAATACAACTTTTTTTTTTTTTTTAAATAAAAAAACTTTTTTATTATTATTATTTTTTCTCCCAGCGCAGCGCCTCTCCAGATCTGGCGCCCTAGGCGACCGCCTAGTTCGCCAGTGGGAAGGGCCGGCCCTGGGTATCGGACTGTGTTCACACCGAATCAAATGAACCGCACCAAGCGGCTAAACGCACCAGGGTTCGATTCAACCGGACTATACAAGGCAGGTGTGAACGGTCAATTACTTTGGTAGAATAATAGACTACCATATTAAAATAAACTCCTTCTTTGCACCTGCAGTCTCTCTACAACTAAGACATTGAGAGGGGGCTGCATTTTAATCCTTTTTGCTAACTAACACCCCCTTCATATCACTATACCAATACATTTGCATAGGCCTACTGTATAAATGCTTTTCCACTAGAGTACACATTTCACAGTTAATGAGTGGGTTGGAATTTCTCCTATACATACAGGAGCACAGTAGTACAGTTGCGGCCATGATTTTGCTGTTAAAACTCAGGATGCATCTGTGTAATTGTGTTGAAAAGCTCCAAGATTGAATGAATAGTATATATTTACACATTGTTTAAATGTTAAATGTTAAAACAGGGATTCAGTTTACATTCTTATCCTTGGATGAACTGGTAGGCTAAGTGACAAGAAATGATTGCTGTCGGTTTCACAAATGCACTCTTACCACTCACTCCCCCTCATCTTCTTTCACTAGTATTACATAAGCAGGCTGACTCTCACACCACAGAATGCTGCTTCTCTGTGTGAACAAGTAGATCCATGTGCTCTGAGCCATCTCCTGCTATGGCCAAGCCTGAATGTTTCATGTTATTTACTGAATTTACTGGTTATGGTTAACTGCTTATTATCTTGTGTCACATGTGAGGGGTTATCAGGACAGGACAGGTCTGTCTATAGTAAAACTTTTGTGCTAAAAAGCGGTCATTTAATATTCTCTATACTGTAATCTGACTAAAGCTCTGCCCTAAGGATTATATTTCTGTCACTGTTGTAAGTGCATATCTTTGTACTGTTTTAAAATAAATAAACATGGAGGCAAACCTCCATTATGTTACTGTCCGTATAACTTGCTGCTTACTGCAAGGAGAGTTTGTAACACACTATCAAAGCTGAAACTAATAACATGGTTTCATTTATTTGGAAGCATGAGTTTTATTTCTCTCCTCCCATTCAAAACTAAGGAAATGTATTGTTGTTCCTGCATAAGTGTGGGTGGTAAAACAGAGAGATAGATAGTGTTGAAATGAAAAACAAAACAAAAAAAACAGCCAGTTAAGGGAATACAATGTTATTTACCTAACCTTTTTATAAATGCATTCAAGCAGTGATTCACCTTTAGCTCAGGTCCCATTAACAATGTCATACAGGTCACTGCAAAGAAAGCACCTTAAACAGAAGTGCATCTTTAAAAAGCAGGTCATTTATTGTTCCTCTTTATGAAAAGCTTTCTGTTTGGACTAAGATGATACTCTTTCCTTTTCAAAATGACACATGCATTAGTTTCCTTGGCAACCGCGCTACTCGGTTGGATAATGTGTTTGTTCACCATGCCCTCGACTGTGAGGAAACACCAAGTCAACAATCATTTAGTTTCATGCTATGTTCAGGATACATTAGTAAACTTGAAGATATGTGATGTCATGCTCCAGTCCAAGCTATTATAAGATAGTGTATGACACTTGCGCTCTTAAATAATATTTATAATGTTGAATATGTGTTTGTCACTATGTGTCCAACAGAGGAATGATGACGAGGCTGTGGTGGACCGAGGAGGAACACGGTCCCAACAGGGGACCAACATCGGGCAAGAGGATCTTGAAGGTACCTGGCCTGCACTGAATGCATCTGGGATAAAAAAGCTTGAAGCAGTTAGAGGCTGCTGGAGCTCAGTCTGCCCACTCTGCCCTTAAAACAGCTGTTTTCCTCTTGACAATGGTTCACAGTAAAAAGACAAGAGCAGAGTGGGAGGTAGAAGCTGTGGGTGAGCTGAGTGTGCATCAGAAATGTAATTATTTCTGAAAAACATGGATATTCAAAGCAAGATACTTAGAGAAGGTTTTAATAACTTCAATTAGAAACCAGAAGCGTTTCCCTTCTGTATCTGCGAACATGCATGCATTAAAAAACAAAGCTATGTGTCTGTGTGTGTCAATGCTCTTAACACATTGCTTTAGTAGGTTTAGAAACAAGATGCCCTAAAATATAGAATGTTGTTCTATGTTCTATATGTTATTTGTAATTTGTTTCCAGAGCTCAATAACGTTAAAGCCACAAAAGTGTGTTGAAAAAAAGGGGAAAAAATGATCCGTCATCCTCGTTGTAAGTTGGGATATTTAGAAGCTGCGAAGAACATGTCACTTGCTTTGAAATGTGTAAACATTAATGAAAGAGATTGTTTTTTGGCATTTATTTGAAAGATTACAGCTTGAATTTACCTCATACATACATAGAAAAGTTCAACATTCATGTGAGTAATCACATGATTTTGGTTTTAAACTCCTTTTATTATCACAGAATACCTTTTTTAATGACTTGTGTCCTGCACACATCATATTTACACAGCTCTTCCGATCATTCCGAACAACACTGTATGTGTTTGTCTGAATCTTCATGTCATGCTGCAGTGCGCTGAGTGGGCAGACTTACTCACTCATGCTGTCTCATCCCAGCACAAACACAAACATGGACACATGACTCTTCATTCCTTCCCACCAAATACATTATAATAGAATAAAAAAAGTGAAGCCTATATTAGATTACCTATTCTGTTTAATTATTTAAATAATAATATGCCTGCTGACCAAAATAACCATTGAGACATGTTTTTTTACAACTGGTTTAGAGCTTATTTAAAAATATGACTTTTTCAAGTGAAAGTGTGAAGTTGCACAAAACTTGTTTGCATGAACCTGAAATAGATCACAATAATGTCCTATTTTATTTATTTATGTTTTGATAATGTTTCATTATACCATAGAATACAATAGAATGTGTTACGTTTAAATCTTTTATCTTAAATGTCACCATTTGATGTGCTATACCTGATAATGACTTTAAAGTAATTCACATCTGTAGTCCCCATACATAGGTGGTATTACATTAATGGTCAATACATTATTATACATTAGCAGCAGTAAACGTTATTTAACTACATGCTATCTGTTTGAGTGTAGCACTTAATCACAGCAAGGACACATACATATAAAGCTTAATGGGGTAACACAAAGAAGTAGTGAAGTGATTATGATTATCTACATGTATGGTCACACACACACACACACACACACACACACACACACACACACACACACACACACACACACACACACACACACACACACACACACACACACACACACACACACACACACACACACACACACACACAGGCCTCTAACCACTGTGTTTTAACTCTCTAGGCCACAGGACTCTCTACATCGGGGTCCACGTCCCCCTGGGCAGTACCAGGCGCCACAGCCATCGCAGGCACCATCACCATGGAAACAAATACAAGAAAAGGAGCAGGGACCCGGACCCCACCCTGGTGGAGGGTAGAGAGTCTCCAATTTATGGTACTAGCTACAATCATAGACTTGCATGTATTATAGCATAAAGAAAATCCTTTTATATTTTTTTCACAATCTCTTACTAACTAAAGCTACTGAATATTAAGACTTCAGTTTGAAACACTTAACGAAACCGCTTGTGTTTCCAGATACTCCGTCCCAGAGAGTGCAGTTCCTACTGGGCACTGAGGATGATGATGAAGAGCACATTCCTCATGAACTCTTCACACAGATGGATGAAATCTGTCTAAAGGAGGCAGAGGATTCGGATTGGAGGGAATCTGCCAGGTTAGACTGCCCTGGCACTGCAGCCTCACAGTCCTGACCTACATGTCATTACGGAAAGCTCTGATTGAATGGACCGGTCATGCCCCCGATCCCACTTACACTGATGAGAGATGTGGCTGTCTATCCAGTATTTGTTTCCATTGCATTTAAGTAATCGCAATCCATTGTTTTAATTGCTTCGGGAATTGTTTTATTGTAATGTTCAACAACATGTAGAATGTATTTATCATAAAGGATGGTGTTCTGTTAAAATGGTAAATCAGACATATTTTATTTATAATGATACCGTGATGAGAGGCAATAAGAGAGGGACCTGGAATGAAGGAGTGTGGTTAATGTAGCTAGAACAGATGGCCGGCCTGGTTTGCCATCTGCGGCTCTCTCTCCTGACTGATCCTCACTCTCCTGTTACAGGTGGCTGAAGTTTGAGGAGGACGTGGAGGACGGAGGAGAGCGGTGGAGTAAACCCTACGTAGCCACTCTGTCTCTACACAGCCTGTTTGAGCTGCGGAGCTGCATTATCAACAGCACTGTGCTGCTTGACATGAGGGCTAACACCATTGAAGAGGTTGCAGGTAATGACTATAGAAGACACGGTTGTAGCAAGTGACAAAGTAACTGTACTTTGTCTATTTAAGATGACCTCTGAACTCAGAAAAGTGTTGACTATTACATTGGGTTTCTCCTTAAAGGTGGGGTAGGTAAGTTTCAGAAACCGGCTCGAGTGCACTACAATTTGAAAGTACACAGCCGAAAAGAATCCGCCCCTTCCTTCAGACTTCCTTACAGAGCACCTCCTCCAACACACATGAACGCGCACATGACGTCAGCAGACTGGTGAAAGTGGCCGCCTGTTGCTGGCGAGTCATTGAAGTACTGCTGCAATGCACGCCCAATGAGGGCACGCCCAATGAGGGCACGAGATACATTTGTGCGTGCACGAGATGGAAGGCTGACAGACAGGGCGGCAATCCAATCCGTTTAGCCGGGCCGGCTAAACGGATTGGATGTACTTTTTACAGTATTACGGCTTCCACAGATTACATTTTTTTATGGATTTTTTGTCAAAGCACTTAAGATATTCATTGCTATCGGGATGTTAAGAGAATTCCATGGAATATAACAAAAAGTGTATCTCGAGCCAGTTTCTGAAACTTACCTACCCCACCTTTAATGTACCTTTATATGAAAATAATGATGTAGTTCTTACTTCATTCACTGAAGGGACATTTTTTATTTTTGTATACTGTATACTTTGTACTCATTATATTTGTCTGATGCACAGTTTGAAATCTAGAAATCTTCACAATTTGATGGACCTCATTACAGTCAAGAATAACTAACCTCATTCAACTATATTACAAAGCTCTACTGTTAAGGCTCCTAAATTACCTCATATCTACAGTACCTGATTTAATTCCTGCTTAACTCCGAATATATCTCATTCATTAAGTAATGTTGGCATATAGTTTCAGATATTATCCATCTTTCTAAATAGAATTATCTCCAAACTGCCCTAACACTAGAGTGTTGCACTGCATTGAGAGATTATAAAGTTTTAGTATTTGATGTTTTTCATGATTCTTGTAACTGTTTTTAATTATTTTTGTTGTTGTTGTTGTGTTTTTTCTTTTTTGGTGTTTAAGTTCTGGTGATTTTTTTCTGGTCAAGGTCTCTCTTGGAAGAGAGATCTTATTCTCACTGAGAATGCCTGATACAACAAAGATGAATAAGAACATGAATCTAAATAGCTATTATTTTTCTACCTAAGACATGGTGTTGGACCAGCAGGAGTTATACGCACCGCTGGGAGATGATCTCAGGAAGAGAGTGCATGCCACACTGCTGAGGCAGCACCATCACCAGAACCAGAAGAAGCTGGCTAACCGCCTGCAGATTGTACGCTCCCTCGCTGACATGAAGAATGGTGGGTAAATCACTGCTCTGCATATTAACATTATCACCAATTTTACATCTTCAGGACTTTATTATATTTAAAGGAAACATTATCAGAAGGAAGAACTAGTCTTTGGTTAAACTGGCTAAAATATATTGACATAGACTGCTACAAACAAACTGTGAGAAGGGGTCCTAAGCACAAGGAAACATGTTTTAATGGGTTTCAATCTTTTTTTTTTCAATAGTTCCCACTGCTTTGCTTGCTTCTGCAATGAATGTGGTCAGTTGTGCTTAAGTGTAGATACTGTGCATGATGTGTATGCGTTTTATATGCATATGGTCTTAACTTAGCAAATGTTCCATATTCTCCTTATGTGTGATTATCCCCACCATCTGCCCACCCACCTGCCAAAGCCCAACGGATGTCAACAGGTTCTGGTTTATACAGAAAGCCCTCATCAGTTTTTAATTATAAAAACATAATGTAGGGAAGAATCTTCTCATTAATTATGTTTACACTGGCAAAATAGGTTGTTTTTTGTTCACTTGGAGTTGAGTTCAAAAGTAGATTCAAAACTGTGTAAAAGTATATTATATAAATATTGTTTTGCTGCTGATCTAAACAGCCTAACATCTATTTAGTTTTAATTCTGGGCTAATTTAAAAGTTGAATTGGAAGCATTGCCAGAATTCAACATGACAAAATTAGTTTACCGATCAAACCAAGCTGTTTGTTAAATCTTTTTCTAGTTTACTAGAATTACTTCTGGCACATCATGAGGAATTTAATGTCACTAATGTGTCATTTTTAAGCTTATTTCAAAGCAACGATCTCTGACGAGCTTAACGCCATGCTTGGTAAATGCATTACACATTATAATTAGTGTTAATTTTTGACCCGGCAGTTTAATAAATACAGAAATTAGGACAAACCTGTCAGGCAGCTAGGCAGTTATCATGTTGTCTTCTCTGGTCTTTTTGATTTCCCCCCTGTTTTTCTTTTCTTTAAATAATAAGTGAAATAACTAATTGTTGAAATGTTGAGACATTTTTGGAATTGATTCATATTTCTCCATTATGAATTGTTGCAGGTCAGCTGACAGCCTCCACGTCTCAGTTAGCAGCTCCAGACGGGAAAGGGGACATCTCTAGAGAGAACAGTTCAGTGGACTTCAGCAAGGTGTAGTAAACACACTGAGCACATGGATATAAAGCACATATAATAAAAGCACATACAATAAAAATAATATTATAATATATTATATAATAGTCACATCCAACATTTTCTGCATAATGAATACTTTTTCCCTTTTTACTTGCTGGTGAATGCTTGTATTTGACTTATTTTTGAATTATTTCTAGTATTGATACTTTTAATTATAACGGATCATGCATTATTGTCAAAAGGAAGTGATTGCGTGGAGCGGTCAGGGTAATGTGCAATTGTTAAACAAGTGTAGTTCTTACTAAAAGCCTGCCATATTTGACGAATAAGCGCAGCACTGTTGAACAAAGAACAGAAGGTCACTTTTGGTATTTTTAAAAAGAAAGGTCATCTAGTAGGGGATTAGGATTATAATGTCGAGTATGACATTCATAGACATTACAGACAAGGATAAAATCTCTGTTTAAAACTTTTTGCATAATGTGTACTCTATCTGATTTGTGCCTTTTTCCTGTTCACCATGTGCCTATTAATCCACATTGCACTTAATATTATTTATAAACACTATATATAACAACCAAAGTCCTGCCTAATATTCAATATATAATTATTTACTTGATGCACAAAGCAAAAATAATTAGTATTACTGTCAGACTCTAAAAATCAGCACTATAACTGTGTTGACGTCAGGACCCATTAATACATTACAAATATTAATTTGGATGGCTCAGAACAACCCCAGAGCCACATGAACTCCATGAAGGAACGAACAACACTTCAGTCAGCACTTGTCAACTCCACATAATTATCACTGGAAAAATAACACATTTAATATTCCAACATTTTCTGTAGATTGTAGCTCCACTGCATTAAAAAGTAACAATTTGAAATAGCAGCTGTGGGGCATTTATATGCCTTTAGGCATCATACTTTTGAGGTGTGAAAGATACCTCATACTTATGCAACATGTCAAACTATGTTTCCATAATCTTTTGTAATATTTAACAAACACACACAAAGTCTGGACATCTAGACTGTATTTAGACTCTACAATCCAGTCATAACAATTCATTTGGAGCTTATATGAGGATACACTTAAACAATGATTTATTTATAGAAAGCACTTTGGTACATAATTGTTCTTTATTTACCTTTTTAAAAGCCTGCCCTCGACGCTAAGCTAACTGTAAAGAATGTCAGGGCCTTCTGTATGATATTCTAACCATTGTATCTTGTGTCCTTTTTCCAGATAGACCTTCATTTCATGAAAAAGATCCCGGCTGGGGCTGAAGCGTGTAACGTGTTAGTAGGAGAGCTGGAATTTCTGAACAAGCCGGTGGTGGCGTTTGTCCGCCTCTCACCGGCGGTCATACTCAATGGGCTGACTGAAGTCCCTGTTGCCACAAGGTTAGGTTACTGCAGGACAAACCAGTTCAATAAGCTATACATATATTGTATTTACTCTGCTGATTCATTGAAATATATGTGTTTTTGCTTTTAGGTTTCTGTTTATTCTTCTAGGGCCTTTGGGTAGAGGGCCTCAGTATCATGAGATTGGAAGATCCATTGCAACACTTATGACAGATGAGGTGAGAGTTCACTAAAGAACATTAGTTTGCACCCTTCATAATTTATTCTTCATTAATGTTTTGAAGAGTGTGGATTGTTTTGAATGTCAACCAGATGTCATGCTCAGAGTTTCTGCAGGCGCTATGCATAAATTCACAGTCCTGCAGAACTCACAAATTCCTGAAGTGATGGAACATTTCTCAGCATGAGACACAGCTCAGAGCTTTTTATGACAATTTTGGCGATGAGTCAGCCCTCATGTCCTCCTTTTTGTCCGGGATTTAGGCTGCCATCCATCATCACTGAGGAGGAAAAGATGGGCTTTACTGAAGTCCAAACGCTGTTATACACACTGCGAATATCAGTGATTAACACTGTAATGTCATAGTCAGCAATTCCTATGTTTCTATGGTATATTCTGTTTACATGGGGTTAAGTAAGTCCAGGGCTTACTGTGTGAATGTACCCGTCTGCTCGATTACAACCTAGATTTGCAGACATTCCTGCATTAAATATCCCTAAGTCTGTAAAGTATACATCTTAAAGGAAGCCAAACACAGTGGGAGTGGGGTGAAGATTGCACATACAGTGCAGCATGTGCACTGCATGGCAGTCAGTCAAGGTTTGAGTCAGTAATGCAGCTTTTTAAACAACGTTCCATATTTGTATGTCTACAGGTTTTCCATGATGTTGCCTATAAAGCTAAAGACCGCAATGATCTGATCGCTGGGATTGATGAATTTCTCGATCAAGTGACGGTCCTGCCTCCAGGAGAGTGGGACCCAACCATAAGAATCGAGCCACCAAAAAATGTACCTTCTCAGGTTGGTAGGATTTTATTTAGCTTGATGCATTCTTTTCTTTATCTTGAGATGTCTATGTGATGTGGTTCTAAATAATGTAACTGCTGTGGATTTGTTTGTCAAACAGGAGAAGAGGAAGAAATGTAGCAATTTACCCAACGGATTAGTAGAGGGCGAAGAGGAAGAGGAGGAAGATGGACACGGGGGTCCAGAGCTGCAGCGTACTGGCAGGTGGGGGATCACAGAACGGGCAGTGCTTTTGTTGAAAGTAAATCCTGGCACCAGTAAAAGAGTGTGAAGTCTTACAGAGGTGTAGAAATATTATTTACATTTACATAAGTCAGCGCCTCACAGTAAGTATACTGCAGTGCTGTGGCAGTACAGGATGCAGCCCACTCACTACGCTCACTACTTGGTTGCACAGAATCTATTTGCATTTGTACAACTCAGCCTACAAAGCCTCACAAATCATAATTTATTATGATTTTTGATATGTACAAAATTAGCTTGAGAGAATTTGCAGTTGAGTACATTATGGGATTTTGTAAGTCTGCTTCTTTAACCTCTTAAGCCCTGAGCCTGTTTTTAAGGTTTCAGGCTCGAAAATGCTATGCCCAAAACAAATGACTCTAACTTAACTTCTAAAAGGGTTATATGAATAATTTATTTTATCAAAGCAAGGTTACATCTGTGAGTTGGATGTAGAAGTGTCAGAATCAATAGCGATATTTCTCAGTCAGAGTAAATTCAGATGGAACATAGTAAAAAAAAAGGTAAATTCTTACCCCCGCCTAAAAAAAAAACATTACTTATAGTGAAAACTACCCTTGAATGATGGGATAGTAGACTAAAAGCTTTAGGAATCCAAAGTATAACATATAATAAGTACCCTGTATCAAGATTGAGGCAAAACAAGTTAAATTTGACCTTTTTAGAGAGGTTTAGCAAAAAGTAGTCCAGGCGGACTGACCTTTGGCACATTTTGGCACATTTGGATACCATCAGTGCCATTTGACCTTTTTCAGGTACCATACTGTACAAATAATTGTATTATCACTATAGGTAATCATTCCATCCAAATACAAGTGTTTTTAAAAAAAAAAAAAAAAAAAATTTAATTACATTTTTTTTGTATGTAAATGGGGTGTGTGTGTGTGTGTGTGTGTGTGTGTGTCTGTGTGTGGACTTTGCCACAGTCTTTACATGTTTATCACCCGACTAACACTTCTAGGAAGGTTTACTTACACAATAACAATTAGGAAACAGGATACATTTGTCTCCAACAGGAGCAGATTTATTTCAAAAATAACACAAAAAAACGACACTAAAACCAAAATAACACCACAAGCATTTTTTTTGTAAACACTGGCAAAAAAGAAAAAATGTACACAACCTGAATGTGTTTAGTGTTTTTGAATTGAGGCACCAGGCACTTAGTGCAGTAGATAGGTCTTCACCGTTGTGTTGCCAACATCAGAGCACCTCCTGAGCGCGGTGGCATCTTCCCCATAATACTTGGGAATGCATACGAGTGATGATGGGGGGGGGGGAGTGGTGGTGGTGCTGCTGCAGGGACTTCACCCCTCATGTCTGCAGCAAGCTGCTCCCTGAAGGACTTCTGGGTGTGTGGCTCCGTCCTGCCGGGTCACCCCTCATCTTGTGCAGCTCCTTGTGGAGAAGGAAGCTGTTCACCACTGCAATGTCCAGAAAATGGTAAAAAAAAAAGGTCTTGTACCATTTCATGGTTTTGTGGTGAACGCTGTAGTACCCAATCAAAGCATCGGACACATCCACGCAGCCCATGCTTCTGTTGTAGTCCACCACAGCGTCAAGAACGGTAACAATCTTAATCTGCCACACACCAGCCCGTTTCACTTTCCTCCTGACAGTCTGTCCACTGAATCAGAAGATGCAGAGGGAGGCTGAGTTAGTACTGGTGTAGACGTCCGGCGGCGTAGCTTGGATGTTGATGGCTCTGGGGCAACTGTATGCTGATCTGATGCACGTCGACGTCGTAGCTCGGATGAGGCAGATGTTGATGGCTGTGATCCAGAAGCCATTTGATACTTGTCTTCATCACTGTGAAAACAAATGTGGAAAAAACAATTACTTTGATTACTTCACTGGATTATTCTTTCAAAAATGTAACTCAAATCAGAAATAATTCCTCCATTTAGCATGTGTGAAATAACAGTATACACATATATATATATATATATATATATATATACAGTTATGTTCAGTGCTCTGAGTAAAAAATATGTGTTTCATATATCTATTACAACATATGGCACTAAATAATGCCTGCATTTGGAAGATTTAATGAATTTCTTTTAGAGTTTTTCCTCTGTAGACACATAATATGTACGAAGACTGTTCTAAAATGAATCCAGTAAAGCCAGCACTTTGCTACACTCAACTCAATGCTACTTCTGTGTAAACTTGGTTTTGGTCTCATAATGTGGTTTCCATAGAAACATCCTGCCTGGAGATGTCTCTTTGTTGCTCGATTTTTCCATCGTAGAGGCCCATCACACTGAGCCAGACTTAAAAGTTGAACATCATGAAAACGGCATTGGAGGGCTACAGCTCTTTAAAGAAATAGAGTATCTATGGCAATTGCATTTTAACGTGTGAATAAATCACACAGGTAACACGTTTATTTTTGTATTTTCCAGGTGGTTTGGTGGTCTACTTCTAGACATCAAGCGCAAGGCCCCCTGCTACCTGTCCGACTACACTGATGCTTTTAGTTTACAGTGTGTGGCCTCTTTCCTGTTCCTCTACTGTGCCTGCATGTCACCTGTCATCACCTTCGGGGGACTGCTGGGCGAGGCAACAGAAGGACGCATAGTAAATGATTAGCTCTTCCTTTAAATGTTTACAGTGTTTGCCAAGACTAGCGGAACACTGTTGTTGTCCAATATATCAGATATTTAAGGTACCTACTCTCTATTTATCTCTTTATCCTCTCCCACCCCCCAGAGTGCGATTGAGTCGCTGTTCGGAGCCTCGCTGACTGGGATCGCCTATTCGCTGTTTGCAGGACAGCCCCTCACCATACTGGGCAGCACAGGGCCAGTGCTGGTTTTTGAAAAGATATTGTTCAAATTCTGCAAGTATGATTACTTTTCATATGACTGTATATGGAAATAATTTCATTAAATTAATTGTATCTATTGTACACTTTGGTGATTACATTGTCTGATGTTTCCCGGCTCTCTGTGAGATCATTTCAGGATAAATCATCACAAACATCTGGCCTCCCATTTGATGTTCTGACTGTATGGACAATGTGATCTCCAATCTGCCCCACTTTGATTTCCCCTCTTTAATTTGCACATAGGGAGTATGGCTTGTCCTATCTGTCTCTGAGAACCTGCATTGGTCTGTGGACAGCTTTCCTCTGTATGGTGCTGGTGGCTACAGATGCCAGCACTCTGGTTTGTTACATCACACGTTTCACAGAGGAAGCTTTCGCCTCACTCATCTGCATCATCTTCATCTACGAGGCCTTGGAGAAACTCATCCACCTGGGGGATCACTATCCCTTTAACAAGAACAACAACCTGGACAAACTCACCATGTACTCGTATGTGGACAATTATTCTCGCACGATATCCTGTTAAAAAAAAGTGTAATTACTAAAAACATTCCTTGGAGGTACTGTAAATCCCAGGGGGATTATTTAGTCACCCAGATGTTCATGTGCCTCCGCAGATGTTCATGTGTGGAACCTTCTGACCCCACCAATGCTACCCTGAAGTATTGGGAGAACACTAATGTCACTGCCTCAGAAATCTACTGGGAAGCACTGGAGACCAAGGTACTACCAACACGAGCTGGTTCGAAAAAGTCAGACAAAAAAAACAAATTTGTCAATCATGGAGGGGTAATAAAACACACACACAGGAGTTATTGAGCTACAATAGGACAAACTGAAAATAATTCTTTGCAATTAGATCTTCCACCTAGAAGTGGCATGCCCTCCCAGATGTAGAAATCGGAACAGGGGGGATTAAGCGCATTTGGTCTGGATTATATTGGATTACTCATTGCCAATCACTATAAAAGCACATTTGTCTACCCTGTATAGTTTGTGTGAATTGGTTTTCATGTACTGTATTCGTGGAAAACCGCTAATTATATGATGAGTAGGAATGATTCTGTCCCTCTATTTGCAGGACTGTATTGAGAAGCGCGGAGAGTTTGTGGGCAGCGCCTGCGGCCCTAAAGGCCCCTACATACCTGATGTCCTCTTCTGGTGCGTCATTCTCTTCTTTTCAACCATCTTTTTGTCCGCCTTCCTCAAGGAGTTCAAGTTCAGCAATTACTTTCCCACAAAGGTAATATTTCTCACACATTATCACTACATTAGAGGGCATTATGTATCAAGAATGAAGACTAAAGCTTCTCCAGCTGCAAAGTGCAGTGGTACACTCTAGTGGTCAAATACAGGTACTGCATAATAGAAACTAGGACATTTTTGATGAAGTGATGGGTTTTATTCCTGTAAAAAAAAAATGTTTTAATTTTAATTTGATAAAACAAACTGAATGATTGTTTACACATTTTCCTCTTCATCAGGTCAGAGCCATCATCAGCGACTTTGCTGTTTGCTTCGCCATCCTTACCATGGTCTTAATCGACTATGCCTTAGGGATCCCCTCTCCAAAACTAAAGGTTCCCAGTGTGTTTAAAGTGAGCTAGTCCACAAAAGAAGATGTGATCAACACACTGCTGAATTGTATTATTTTCTATCAAGCTACTCATGATGTTTAACCAACAACAATCATTTTTATTTTCTCAGCCAACCAGAGATGATCGAGGTTGGTTCATTAACCCTCTTGGGCCTAACCCCTGGTGGACGGCAATTATTACGGTGTTCCCAGCCGTGCTGTGTACCATCCTCATCTTCATGGACCAACAAATCACAGCCGTCATCATTAACAGGAAGGAACACAAACTCAAGGTACTTTCATTTCTAGGATTCCTTGCATCATACAGACCCCCAGGATGTCTGAATCAAAGATATTTACTTGTGCTTTCCCCCTTCAGAAAGGCTGTGGGTACCACCTGGATCTGTTCATCGTGGGGGTGATGCTCGGTGTGTGCTCTTTGATGGGCCTGCCGTGGTTCGTGGCGGCCACCGTCCTCTCCATCAGCCACGTTAACAGCCTGAAGCTGGAGTCGGAGTGCTCGGCTCCCGGGGAGCAGCCCAAGTTCCTCGGCATCAGAGAGCAGCGCTTCACCGGCCTCATGATCTTCACCCTCATGGGCTGCTCTGTCTTCATGACCTCTGTGCTGAAGGTCAGACACCGTCTTTTCATTATTAGAGTGTGACGTCAAGTATCTCTCTGCTATTGTTCCATATTCATCACTGAGTGGTCTGCTTAAATAAAGCAGTTACTGAGCAAATCCATGTTTCTGACACAGCATGTGTATTGTTCCTCAGTTCATTCCTATGCCTGTGTTGTACGGAGTATTCCTCTACATGGGAGCCTCTTCTCTCAGAGGCATTCAGGTACAATTATTATAATTTCATTGTTTTAATGCATCTGTTTTTTGCTCACTTGTTTCGTTACATGAGAAAACACAAGGATACAATATATTTCTCATATGACCTTTGGTATGACAGATTTAAGTGGAACAAATATATCTGACTTATTTAAAAAATGAATTCCATCACACAGATAAATGCACAGTTCCTCAGTTTTAATGCCCACATTATGCATGGGAACAGACTGAATACCAGCACCACCCAATTGTGATACTGTCGGCAGCATTTGGGTTGTAAATAGACTCATTGCACATGCAGATAATCTAGACATGAGATTAAACAGACAGTTGGCCAGTGAGGATAAATTGGCCAGTGTGGTTACATTTTAATTTGTGGATGCTCCAACCTCCAATAATCTGTGTAGACAGTTAATTCTCACCGAGCCATGATAGGGGAGCGCCTCCATATTGTCTGGCTGCCCAGATAAAAAGTGTTAATTGGACTCTAGTGTGTTCCCAGCATTTACAGAACACCTGGCTGGTATTTAATTGCCCCCTTTTAGTTTTGTTTTCTTCACTTTAAAGTACTTTCTATTATTGGGTTTCAAGACAAACACTCAAAGGTATTGATTGCAAAAGGGTATTTTTTATGCTTTTCAAGGGTATCCAGCTTGTTGTAGGCACACAGTCAGCAGGCAGAAACGTTTAGCTGGATGTTTGCTTATTGATGCGGACATGCGGTCACTTCATATTGTATAAGCTTTCTGTTGCCAAAATCGCTGCCAAAATAATAACCTTAAAGAGGCAAACAAATCCTTACATTCAGGAACATTATGTGTATGTAGGTTGTCAAAACCCTTGTCAAGTTATGCATTATGAAGATAAGACGACTTAAAGTGTCTCTGATTGATCAGCTTCTTGATAATGTATCTAATGACAGCGTGAAAACAATGTGACAATGTAAAATTGGCCTTGATGAACCTTCATATAATTATCACCTACAGTTGAAGTAACTCTTGGTGTTACAGACCATAATAGATGTCAGTTTATTGTTATGCTGTCAGGCATATGATGTTTTGTTTCACTCTCATAATTCACGTTGATGTTTTCATTGGTTGTTAATCTCCAATACACACTATACTATTTCAAAAATACTGCTGCTGGTTTATAAAGCTTTGAATGGTTTAGGCCCAAAATACATTTCTGACCTCCTGCTAAATGATGAACCATCCAGATCTCTCAGGTCTTCAGGGACTGGTCAGCTTTCTGTCCCCAGAGTCAGAACTAAACATGGAGAAGCAGCGTTCAGTTATTATGCTCCAAATATCTGGAACAAACTCCCAGAAACCTGCAGGTCCGCTGCAACTCTTACTACTTTCAAATCCAGGCTGAAGACTTTTCTTTTTGTCGCTGCTTTTAATTGAACTATTCATATCTTAGACTGCGCTGTAACTTTTATCCATGTACTTTTTCTTTTAATGTTTATTTTATTATCTTTTCTTTTTAATGACTGATTTGAAATGCCATTTTCTTAATGTCTTTCGTTTTTTGTAAAGCACTTTGAATTGCCTTGTGTTGAAAGGTGCTATATAAATAAACTTGCCTTGCCTTGACTACCTATTCAGTACTTACTGACAGACAGACACAGTTTGATACAAGCTGGTGAACATCATAGCCTTCAGCTGATAAGGAACCAGATATTTCCCTGGTTAAACATCTTTTTCTATCATTCCTCTCCAGTTCTTCGACCGTCTGAGACTGTTCGGCATGCCGGCTAAGCACCAGCCAGACTTCATCTATCTGCGCCATGTGCCCCTGAGGAAGGTGCACCTCTTCACCATCATCCAGCTCACCTGTTTAATTTTGCTCTGGGTCATCAAGACGTCCAAAGCTGCCATTGTCTTTCCCATGATGGTGTGTAAACTATTCACTTTTTGACCATCACAAGCACAGCATACCTTTCAACACTGGGGTCCATTAGGCACATGCCATGTACATTGTGGTTAATGCAGGAGTTATTAGAGGTAAAACAAACAATTCATTTTATTCTGAACCCTCTCAAAATAGCAGATTGAACATAACAAAAATCATGCTGTATCATTAATATCTTTTGTCGGAAAAACTGTAGATTTCTGCTGCTGTACCTTACTGAAACTCTCTTTAAACTGATTAGTAATTTTCTTCTGCTCAGTAAGGCGTGTTTGTGTTATTACCTCTTGTGTTCAAAATCTCCAGAGCATCATACTTCTTTATTAAAAAGTAGGATTTTTCAGAGGTTTGTGGTTGTGAATTCTACAGGTGTTGGCTCTGGTGTTCATCAGGAAGCTCATGGACTGTTTCTTCACCAAGAGAGAGCTAAGCTGGCTGGATGACCTCATGCCAGAGAGCAAGAAGAAGAAGCTCGAGGATGCTGAGGAGGTGCTGTCACTCGTCATCACAACATGCATTTCAATTTGATTTATATTTACATGTATTTTAACTGTATGTAATTAAACTTTCAGGAGGAGGAGCAGAGTATAATGGCGGAAGACGAGGGAGTAGTGCAAGTGCCATTAGAAGGGTACAAGTAAGTTGTATTATACTTGCAAAGAGACATTATGACAGTTTTCCTCTACATATTACTCTGTCGCATAAATATGAGAGATTAAATTGTCACCTCTTTTCACAGAGGAATACCAGTCATCAACATCACAGATGAAATGTCGAAAGGTTCTTTTGGAAATACTTGGAATGCCAACAACAGTAACACCTAAGATCATTATGGTAAGACTTTCTGCATTGTTGAATATACAGAATAATAACTACGACACACATGAAAATACAATTACATTTCTTATTAAAAAAACGGAATAATTTTACCTATAATTCTGACAGCCGGAACAAAAAAAATAAGACAACTGAAATCCTACTGTACCTAAAGTTCAATAATAATTGGTTCTAACTATGTGTGGGCACTAATAAGCTGAGGTAAACAGCTCAATAGGGGATGGAGCTACAGAAGCATTCATATGCCAATAGCTCATTAAATCTTTGGCTTCTTGTGATATCGGCTTTACTTTTGTGGCTGTTGTAATTTACAGGAAATCTTTTTTAGGAATCATTATAAGAGTCATTATAAATATCAGGAAAACCGTTTTTTTCAGTTTTTAACTCGAATACAAATGTCACTATGTATTAACAAGACAATAACTATTGTTGAATTTGGTTGTTAAGGTTTATTCATTTTAGATTTGAGGAACAGTTAGACACTTTTTGAAATATGCCTATTCACTCCCTTGTCGAGAGTTAGGCAGTTGGTACCTCTCTCCTTACTGTAAATGTTGGTTAGCTTAGCACAAAGACTGAGGACAGGGGGTAACAGCTAGCCTGATTCTATTGAAAGCTAACTAAATGTGCCCATTAGCCCCTTTGAATTCTAAGATTAATTCATTAAAATAGTACACAGCAATATAACCCTACAGAGCTATTCTGCATAATGAGTACTCCTACATTTGATAATTACATTTTGCTGATAATATTTCTGGATTTGTAACCTGTGTATATTTTTAATTACAGTAACTTTACTTGCAACTGAGTATTTTGACACTGATGTCACTACATACCAGTGATTGAAACAAGTCCTCTTTAGTTACAGCAGCCTACTTGACTAGTATATTTCTACTAATTTAACATCTATACTTTCTTTCTTTGAATCTCAGAGTTCACTGAACAGTCACAGTATTCACAACACTGGTTTCCATGAAGGATCATTTTAAGATGAAGAAGATGGATCTTTGTCACTGGGTGATCTTGTAAACAACTCTTTTTATGCTGCCGTTAATCAATCCTTTATGTTTATTCTTGAAAATCTTGTGCGTACTGTAAGTGAATAACTGTATAATCCAGTGGTTCTCAAAGTGGGGGGCGCCCCCCCCCCAGGTGGGCGCAGAGGCATGACAGGGGGGGCGCGAGAGACCAGGGGGAAAAATGGTTATAAAAAAAAAAAGATTAAAAAAAAAAAAATCATATTTTGAAAAATTATTGATTGAAAATAATATGATACAGTACTATTACGTCTGGGTCTCTGTGTTTCATTAAAGCTCGGCTCTGTGTGTGTGTGTGTGTGTGTGTGTGTGTGTGTGTGTGTGTGTGTGTGTGTGTGTGTGTGTGTGTGTGTGTGTGTGTGTGTGTGTGTGTGTGTGTGTGGTGTGTGTGTGTGTGTGTGTGTGGGTGTGTGTGTGTGTGTGTGTGTGTGTGTGTGTGTGTGTGTGTGTGTGTGTGTGTGTGTGTGTGTGTGTGTGTGTGTGTGTGTGTGTGTGTGTGTGTGTGTGTGTGTGTGTGTGTGTGGAACGATCCATTTTGTGTGTGCGAGAGAGAGAGAGAGCACCGGTACCGGAGATCGTTGATGTTAGCTTCCGGTGCTAGCGAGCTACGCTAACGGATATAAGGAGTTTTTTCAAAAACAAAGTGGAGGAGAGTCCTCTCCTGTCAGACTGAGAGACTCAGTGAGCTAAAGGACTCTCAGTGTTATCTCTGTGGGTCTCAAACGTTTTGGTCACCATTAATGTAAACAATTATCTCCGAGGCACACGTTTATATGATCATTATAGTTATAAAAAAATAAGAGAATCAATTAAAAACAGCAATGAAATACTATATGACAGTAAAAAAAGAATACAGTTTAAAAGGGGAGTGATTTGTAAAATATCCATAAAGAAAAAGTAATTCTGTTTACAATTCTGTTTCAAATGGGTGTTGAGAGAGGTATCCATAGATCTCTTCATTTTGCTCTCAATGTGCACCAGATTGATGCTTTCAACTTCAATATGCCGTGAGCTGTATATCGAGCCTTCGTTGTAACAGTTGCGGGTACACTGTGTATATGCGTGAGGAGTGTTGCAGTTGAACATTCCACTGTAGCGACCGGTACATTAATAGGAAACCCTAAATGTTTGAGCACCCTCTATGAAACGTCAAGCTACCCCACAGCACCCCCAAAATAAATCTCTGGCGCCGCCACTGAGCCTGACTATTTGTGTTGGGGGGGCCCGACATTTTTTTTCTCCAAAGGGGGGGCCTGACAGAAAAAGTTTGAGAACCACTGGTATAATCTAATGTGTCACAATTAATCTGCCTCTTCAAGAGCCAGTGAAATTTAATATGTTATTGTGTTGTCAAATTGTAGTTTATTAATCTACATGTACATCTACATAAATTGTGTTCCGTTTTTGTTTTAGCTGTTTTAACTTTTAAATGCACTGTAAGGCGACCTTGGGTGTCCTGAAAGGCACCTCGAAATAAAACGTATTATTATTATTATTATTTAAAATTGTTTACATTTTCAAGTTTTTCTTATTGGACCAATTTGTATTTTTTTATCCTTGTTTTCTTTATGTATTTATTCACCAATTCCCTATTTTCCTTTATCTCCATAGACATTATGATGTAAAATAAATATAAAAGTTTAGTGAATATTTTAAAAGCGTACGGTCATGCTTGACCATAAAGATATACAGTAATAACTTTGTGAAAACCCATACTAGACGCATACAATCATATAAAGCTTTTTGTGACTGACGGGAATGAGTGCTTTAATGTGATTAATGGGCAATAGACTCTGATAGACCAAATGCAATAGCACTTTTTGCCAAAATGTCAATACTCAATGTCAATATCTATACGAGAAATATTTATATATCTTTATGTTGTGGAAGAAAATGACTGTTTGCTACAGATTACCTTGTATTCTAACAGATTTACAGTATTCTGCCTCCTAGTGTCATCGTCAGTGTATTGCGTATATTGTAATTGTACATTTTAGTTTTCCTAAATTGTTTACATTTAGTATAAAGTTTATTGAAACATGAATTTAAAAGATTCATAATAAATATACTTAAACATCTGATGATCATACTGTAATAGAGATGTGTTTGTGAAGGACGAGGGATGGGCTTATTATGCATATCCAATGTCATTTTAAATGAATAAAGAAATACAAATAGACTCAAAACTAATGGTGTGTGCACTGCAATAATGGAAAGCTGGGTGCAAACTATACTAACAGATACAGTATGACTCATGCATTGTTCATGCATTGCTAATAATAAGGTTACAATGCATGAGTCATGGTTTAATGCATTAATTATAAAGTTAGGATGATCGCTACTATCACTGAGAATACCTCTAGTTTGTAAATGTGACAGAGCGGGGTCATGTACTATATATAAATGTTTTTACATACAGCTTCGTTTTACAGAAAGGATGATCAAACGCAATGGCCTCAAATGTTCACAGCTAAATTGATATCATTATAGAAAAATCTAAATTCTGAAAATGATGATCACACTCTGCATTGATGTAATACCTGCATAGGGGGATGACATGATAGAAACATCCAGTATCTTTGCTGCTCAGCATAAATGTCCGACCCTCAGAGATTTGGCATACAAATAGACGGAAGTGGGCAGAGGTTCCCGCAATCAACAGATGGTTTGATGTGCTAAGGATGACAGCTCAGAGACATCCCAAAGCATGTCAAGCTGCTGGCTCATGTGAATTCCTGTTTTGTCTGAGCGCCAGGAAGAAGTCAAGAGTGTCGACCCATTCATTGTTCAGAATAAGTTTGAGCTGATTGACGTGATTTCATGTTCTTTCGTTAAGTATAACCCTCCTAGGTGTGCTGTCAGAGCATCAGATCCTTCTCCAGTGACAGCTGACAGGTGACGCACATCATCCTCAAACCAAATCCCACAGCACATTCCTCCCTGGGGAGTGACGTGTTAATGGACTTTTGTTCTGCCTCTATAAACAGAAGAATAGCTGATGAAGGCGCTCAACATGTTTTATTAGATCTTTCATAATCAATTATGTGGGAGTTAAACTGCTTCTTCAGAACTACGGAAAAAAGTTAAAAAAGTCTATTTTTCTGTGGCCAATATTCATGTATTCTCTGATATGTGGATTTATAGATGTACATGTACGCACTGAGATGTAGATCCTTGTCAAACCAATATATCAAAATGGATTCATTGTTAAAAGAGGGAACTCGATTGATAGATTGTACACATTTCTTTATTGAAAACTAAATATGACTTTTATCTGAATCATAAGAAAAGGTATTGAGACTATCTACAGGTGTAATTATGGAAGTAGCAATTCAGAATCGTAATTTGATTGTAACATACACATTTTAAGTGAGAAGGAAGATGAAAATGCCAAAAGGGGAACAAAATGAACGGTGATATGAAGGCTTGATATAAAGTCACACAGCATTTATGATTGAGACACATTTCAAACATACTTCTTGCATTTGAACAACATTTCCTCCAACCACTGAAGGCCAACAGAGCTTTGTATGAAGGGAATTTAATAGCAGGACCAAGAAAAAAAGTCTAGTACAGATTGTGAAACATATAGTAGCACAGGTTCGGTGTGAGTTGCTGCATTATTTAGGGAGATTTGTTGAGTTTACTCTCTTCTGCCTCGGCCGGTCTTCAGCCAGGACACAAACTCCTTGGCCGCCTGGTCCTGCAGGTAGGAGCTCACGTCACTGGTGTAGGTGCCATCTGCATGGCGTCTAAATACGCTCCTGTAGATGAAACACAATGACTCTTAATATAATTGTGTTGTCTGATCCAATACCAGACACATACAGTTTTAATATGATTGAAGACAAACTTGTTAGGTATAACTATATCCACTCAAGTTCCTACTATGACACAAAGTTGTAGCAGTCCAGTAAGAAGAGGGCACACTCACCCGTTCCTTTTTGAGTTCTTTAGCCACTGGACAAAGTCTTGTGCTCTTCTTGTCTCCAGATATTTACTGTAGTCGTTGGAAAATGTTCCCTCCGAATGCCTCTTGATGTTTGGGAGCTCAATGGGTTCGGCCAGCATGGAGTTCTCAGCCAATAGTCTGGGAATAATGAAGAGTAATAAAGCTTAAGTTGACAAAATATCCTCTCCAACACTCCACGTCCTCTATATGTCAGTACACACACCACCATTTTTCATGTCCATCGTCTCCCTGCCTTTTTTCTCTCTCTAGCAAACTCCCCTATAGGCAGTTAGACTATCTGAAGTATCACCACACCACAACTATCCTGCTGCATCGCCCTGAACCAGCAATGATCTTATATATTTCGGAATAAGCATTATTTCTGTAAACGTGTATCTTCTTAATGCTGGTATCCTTACTTGTGAAATTGAATGGTCAAAAAATTTAAAAACACTGCAATAGTTTTGAGTCATATAGCGTCTATTAAGCAACAGATGACAACATATTTGAATTAAAACCTATGAATATTAAAATCAAATACATGCAAAAACACTTAAAGGAAGGCAATAAGTTAAATTAAACAACAAACTAAATGTAAAGAAAACCCACATAATCTCCTATGGAAACTAAAATAGCTGTTCCTACTGGTTTTCTCTTTAAGAATTAACATTTACATAATGGTAAATTACATTTGGTCTATTTGCACTGGAAATCATTTTCCTCTTATGTCAATGGTAGTATTTTAAGGTAGCATATTAAGGCTAACTGAAGCTATCTCAACCAAGAAATATATATAATAAAGATAAATTAAATAAAAAGTGTCAGGAGGCATTACATCCTGTTTAAATCTGGTTGATAGCTATAACATATTTGCTTCATTTATTTTTCGAAGCTCAGATTCGTTTCACCAAAGACACTTAAAGACGTTATTGTTCTTCTCATAAAGGATGCTTGATAGTGGATTTTTTGATGTGAATTTGATGTGAATGAGACAAAGCTGAGAGCTGATCTTACATTTGGCTTCGGTCTGAGTCCTGGTCAGGCACCTGCCAGCTGCTTTGAATCATGATGAGGAGCAGGAATCCAGCCAAAGAGTGAATGCTTTTCATAGTTTGAGCTTCTGAAAAACGAGCAGATAAAGACACTTTGAGAAAGTTCCAATACAGCATAAAATAAATAAAACCTCACAGTTTGGATGTCTAAAGATAGGAAGGGTCAAAAATGCTCACCTGTGCTCCTTTCCGTGGAGTGTCTGAGAAGGATTGTAAAGTGCGTTGATGGTTGCCCTTCTTCTCTCTGAAGCTGTCTAATGGTCCCCTCTTGATCTGTTCAGTCTTATATAGTGGAGCTGAGGAGCGTTCTCCCAGGTGACTCCCCCGTCACTGAGACCTCAGCAGATCCTCTGTTACTCTCAACCCATTAGTCAGCTTCCCTCTCAGTCCACTGAACGTATTTGACTTTGTGGTAAAAGCTGCTAATTCAGGTGTCACAATCAAACATGACCTCTACCCTGACAAATACTGGCATCCAAATGTGTTGAAATGACTTTTTCTCTCTTAGTGTCGGGAAAAAACTATTTTTGTGTTAATCATGTGCAGACAGCAAAGCTTTATTTGTAAGGAAATCCTGGATTCTCTTCACATCTCTTGAATGATAAATTATCTTTAAAACTTGATGGAAAAATGTACAAGATTAAACTAAAACATGTCTGGCGTTGCAATATATATATATGCCGTTAATAACTGTTCAATATATACCTGGCTGCTAAATCCTCAGAACTGTTACAGGATGTGATTTTTGTAAGTTGTGTAACTTTGTTTTTACTATAATATATTTTTTTAATCTTTAATCTTTTTTGTTATGCCTGCTTCTTAGGTAACATTAAGCTGTCTTTGGCTCTTTTCTGCTTTAGCAATGTACATTTTCCCTCTGTGGGACTAATAAAGGTATTCTGATTCTGATTTAGAGAGACAATACAATTATTTTTGAATTGTAGTATATGTGTAAAATAGGAAGATTATGTGACTAAATCATGTGATCGAGAGAAAAATCGAACTAATGAAACTGTTATATAAAACAATGTTTATTCAACAGAACATGAATGCACATTTAAACAAATATATTGAATGACATCATATTCACATAAAAAAAGGCTAATTTCAACCATGAACGCATGCAAAGGCTTTAGCAATGTTTATAATATCAGATATTCAGAAAAATGTTCCCTAAGTCCACATAAAATACGAATGCTCATGTATGAGCAATCAAACATCCATTGCACATACAAAAAACAAATGTACATAGTTTGACCTGACATTTCAGAATATTAATACAATAAAATAAAAAAACATTAGAAATACGAAAGTCTTGTCACCATACTGTAAATGTTGTCACATTTTTCACATTTATTTGGGCTTAACAAGGCATTTCTGCAGGAAGTGGCTCATGAGGTTATATGTATGATGGTGGGCTGATCCTCTAAGTCCATGGTCCTTGTTAGTGTACCACTGAAATTAATGGGAGAATCAGATGAGTGCATATACTTTGTAAAATACCACATGGCCGTTATTTCTCATTAAATCAACACCATTAAGTCAATACTTCTCACTTCACTGAGCCAATATTTACCATCGCCTCAAAGTCCACTTCCTCCTCCACCAGAGCTTTGGAGATCTGTGCTGCCTGCTGGAAATGGACATTATCTACAGGAAAGACAGTGCTTTCAATACGTGACTTAACACCAAAGCTCAAGGCTAAAAGGGTCCATTCGTGCAAGGCTTTAGTGTGTACACTGTTGAGAAATAGTGCTATCACATGCTCAGAAGCTGGAGAAAAGAGTATTTGGATGAAACGTACCATCTGCTGTGCCATGAACCAGAAGATAATCTACAGTTTTGAAGTTCTTTGCTCTAGCTGTCACTGCAGAATTCTGTAGAAATAATGAAAATGTTGCTTTTATAAACACACTCAAGCCAAAATAAACAGTGATTATGCTGACTCGTGTGAAATTTACTTTATAGGAGTCTGAATTATCTGCAGGCATCCCCATGTAGCGTTCAGTGTACACTGCATCTGCAAAATAAACACTTCAATAATATGATTCAGAGTTTAAATAGACATTTGAATCTCAAAGGAATCTACACATTGAAGTCTTGTCACTAGAGTGTGTGTTGGTTGGGGCTAAAAAGGCAAGAGGCTACGGTAGCTAGCACTAGCAAACACATCTCAATCTCTAGTCAAACTGCTGGTGGTGGGGCTGCTTTGTGGATAAAATAATGACCAGGTTTTGCCAAGGGAAAAGGTTTCATGGGACTAAAAGATGATATCTCTGGTGCTGCTCCATGATTTTTACTTTTTGAATGATGTTATAAAAGTGTGATGCTAAATAAGTTAAGTACTCTTTAAATTACGCTGTGGTAATGACGTGAAAAGGGGAATATAGTGCTTTGTACACCAACCATAATATTCCCACTTTGCCACGGGGGCAACTGCTATTCCACACTTGAAGAGTCCAGTTCCAGCACCCAAGGCCATTGAGGTGACGTAACCACCATAGGACTGAAGGTAAGAGTTGATGACATTTATTAAATGCAAAAGACATTGGATTACATTTCAGGTCAATAAAAAATAAATATAGCAGCTTACCCAGCCCCATATTGCTATTCTCTGTTTGTCAATAAAACCCATGTCGATGAATTTCCTACAACACACAAATCGTTTATTAGGTAACAAAAACAGCAGACTCTGGACATGTATTTGGATATCCATTGAACCAAACCTTTGTTATAAATTCTTTATGAACAAGTGACATCACTAATCAGCCACCAAATGAGATCACCTTACAGTGTATAACATGAGGTGATTGAATGTTTGGACACACTTTACCTCACAGCTGATATCTGATCCTCCACTTCGTACGTCCCAAGGCGCTTGTAGATTGAATGCATTATTTCGTCTCCTTGGTAACCGCTTCCCCTTCCATCAAAGCTGGCGACGATGATGCCGTGTGAGCTGGAGAGGTACGTGCCCCAGTTCAGCTTGAAGCGATAGTCCACCCCCTGACTACAGGGCCCCCCATACCTGCACAGGTCAGCATTTTATCATCAATTATTCTGCATTCTAAATTTCCAATGAATTATATTGGTATGGAGCATTGAGTGTTTTAACTTACACATCAATGAGAAGAGGATATTTTTTAGACTTCTTGAAATTTGGTGGTAACATCATTTGATACCAAAGATCTGTCAGGTGAAAACAAGTTGTGACATTTAAAAAAAGACAAACATATGTTTCAAATATAAAATGTCCTATCCATTAAATGTCATACATATGAATGTTTTTGGTCGAGAATGTCCAACAGTTACAACTAAATACTTCAATACTTATCACCAGTACAGTCACTCTTTCAAAGTAAAACTTCATATACAGTATATACAGTATCCTCCCGCATGATAAATATTTTATTTATTGAAGGTCTTCACTTGGTGTTTCACTGTGCATGTTCGGAGAGAGACACTAGAAGACTACAGTACAATTTCTCTGTTCTCCCTTTACATTGCATGATTTTCTTCACTACTTATGGTTTGTAAACCACTCATGGTTCAATATGAAGCTCACGCAACTTTAACGAGGAATCTTAAAAGCTACACAAAAAAGTATGAATATATATATATATATTTTTTTCTATGTGTGGAAAAAACAGACAAATGGAAATGTACAGTATCGTCTCACCATATCCCGCAATCTTCAGCGTGCCATACTTCATTGTTGGCATTTGGAATTCTGACAGAATATTTTCCAGTCCCTTATTCTCCTCAAGAACAGAGAGCTCTGAAAAAGATAGTTGAATGGCTAATGTCATACTCAAATTGACTGATGTGCAAAAAAAACGTATTCAAAATCGAATATCAAAAATATTTCTCCTTTTACAACATAGAACTTGTCTAGATTTAGGGTTGTAAGATATGAAGAATTGACACTGAGAGTAGCAGTAACAATGAAAAACAGATGTGTGTCATTTTGTTGTTACTCTACAAGACCAGAACCTGATCCGGTTTATAGTTATTAATATATTTAATGAGTACAGTGTTATTTCATGAATAATAAGCATAAAGAAATAATCATGAATCTCCGTCTTTGCAAATTTGTGAGTTACACCAAGTCAGATGACAATATAACTTAACTGTAAAGTGATACAATTGCTTTAAGGAATTCAACAATGGGCAACAATGCGTCTACGGACCTGCACCGGAGCCCCTGTTGTCCACCAGCGAGTAGAGGGGCAACCCAGGTCCTGGTGAAGACAAGAATAGAAAATACACAAACAGATGATTATACATCAAGTCATCTGTATGACTTTAGCAGTCTCAGATCACAGCTGCTGCCCACCACGAATAACTCCAACACATTGAGTGTGAGTTATTGCTTAAGAGGAAATGTTGTTGGGTAACTGACCGTAGCAGTCTAGTCGGTAGAAAGAGGCGTCAAAGCTGAAGTAAGCAGAGTTGTACTGACACCTGTCCTTATGCAGGCTGCATGAGAGACACTGAGGAGTAGAAGGGCTGCCTCCAATCAACACCCTGATAAACAAACAGCTCATGTTGGTCAATTAGCTAATGTGTCTGGTAGTATTCCTTGAATTCAAGATTAAATCACACATAACACTAATTCCTTACTTGTACACATCTCTCTTCACAGGTATTCCTTGGTTCTGATTACTAATAAAATAACTGTTGAAAAAAGTTTAAGTTAAAGTCAGATTTAGGTATATTGAATTAATATCATGCTATGCAGTTTTGCCAGAAATGTATGGCATCATCACTTACATGGCATCTTTCGTTAATTTGGATATGTAGATGACTTCCCACTTTCCAGAGGTAATAGGTGTCGCTTTGCCCTTCACACAATGAGGGAATATGACACTCAACTCAGAAGACATGATGACTTACTGTGCAGTATATTTTGAATGTGTATGTAATTCAAATATACTTACATCTTTCACAAAATGAATATGTTTGTAGCCCTGAGCGTCACTCATCACTTTGTAGAAACTGATTTTATCATCAGCAAAGAAAAGTGGTGAGGGCATGTACTAAAAAAAAGGTAATATTTAGTAAACATAAACAGCAAATCCAATTCATTTTGGTGGATACTTTCTGGAAACTTACACGGCCGACCCATCCTGTCTTGCTTGTTTGCTCAAATTTCTATAGAGAGCAGAGACATTTATTGCAGTTAATTATAATTTCCTCACATGACCCTGAAGTCAACACGTTGGTTGTGATTCAGAGAAGCAGAGTGACAGCTACCTGTTTTTCTTGCCAGCTGCTTCCATCAAAGTCATAGATCTGTACAACCACGTAATTCTGTTTCCTTGTGACCCACTGCACAGCCACGCGCTCGTCTGTAACCCAGGTCACTGAGCACAACATGTGATCACTGAGCAAAGGAAACAGAAAGTGACAAGGTAAGGAAGGCAATGAGGATATTGTATTTGCTTCTATTTTCAGTGCTGTTTAAGTGATGCTATGAACTAAAGAATATACAGACCCAGAAGATACAGAAGCGGGGGCAACCACCTGCGAGCGGATGGATGGATTTGTGGCATCAACCACAAACAATTTCACCTTGGTAAGGGGAGAGCCAGCCTGCAACAAAAACATCAAATGTTAAACTCTTGATAAACAAAATATAACATGAGAGTGTCAGGAAGATAAGTTATGGACCATTTAAACAGAGAACTGCCTTTAAAGGTCCCCTATTATACTATTTTTCATCAATATATTATAGGTCTCAGATATATACAAAACAAGTCTCTGAAGTGTTTGAATCAAAATACTAAACAGATCATTGTAGCATCCCATAAACCCCTCTGTTTCAGCCCTGTTTCAAAAGTGCTGATTCTCTGTCTGTTACTTAGATGAAAATAAGGAGCCCCTCCCCACGCCCCTCTGAGAGATATTTGGTTAAAAAGACACAATGGTGCTCTAGGAGGAGATTCAGGTGATAAGGTTGGCGGGGGTTACCTTGGCTGGTTATTGGCTAAAGGTTACACAAGCCAAAACATCGGTATGACATCACAAGGTGGCCAAAATCTGATCAGCTCATTTTCAGACAGGCTTTTATATAAATGGATCAGGACAAAAAGCGAGCGAATATTTTTTCCTGAAACCTTCAGAATCTCTTTACACAGAGAGGACACATGTTTATGTATAAAAGACATTACAAATTGGATTTTGCATACTAGGTGACCTTTAACTAAATATTGACATATCAGAATACTGCATGAAACCCCCACCTTCGGGTATGGGAAAGCCACTGTTTCAGGATACTGCGCAGCCCCATACCACGAGAACTCCACTTTGTGAACATCTGTATCATTGAACTCTGCATATGCCAAGAATTTTCCAGTTGATGACCACCATAATGCCCCGTTTGATGCAAACACTTCCTCTGAAATAGATGGAGAAAAAGAACATGTGTAAGCTTCCTCCATATAGAGACACATACAGTATGAAGGAAAGTGAAAGAAACTTACCCTCATATACCCAGTCAGGGACACCATTCAGGATCTCATTATTTTTCCCATTGTTCGTGACTTGTACAACTTCAGCAGTGATGTTGGATTTGAAAAAAACATTATAGTCTGACACGTAGGCCTGCAAAATGTAGTTGATGATTACAAATAAAGTACACACCCATACTCACAGCTTTTCTTCATCAAATACACTTTCTGCAATAGTCTAATGTTTTTTTTTTCCTTTCCCATTTTTCCTCACATACTACGGCAGTCATGTGGAAACAGCAGTCATTTTGTTCATTTCAACTGAATGTAAAGGACACAGAAAGCAACTTGAAGAAATAGTTTACTTACATATTTGTTGCCTGTTGGGGCGAAGGCAAAGAACTGCACAATAGTTGGATGATTGACAGGTGTAACAAATGTCCTGGAAAGATATGGAAACAATTAAGGGTGATACTAAATTAAACCACTGCCTACTGTATAAGTATTCTTCTGATATATTTTTCCATATTGTAAGATGAAATACTGTATCTCTCAATAAAACAACCACTTACGAACTCTCCCTGTTATAGATGGAGTAAGACGCTGTGTATGAATGTCTCCATTTCTGTTGGAGTTCAAACAAAAAACTAGTTTTCAGATATTTACTATCAGGATTTTCTTTAATGACGATTACATTTAAGGACCTCCTAAAAAGACAAAGCTTGTGTAAAAACTCTGGTGAACAAACTGGGGAACATCGATTAGAAGTTTCTTACCTTTGTGAAATTGCTTTCAAAAGCGATGTATTTATAATCACCCGACAACATGTAATCTGTGGCATCCACTTGAGTCTATAATCAACACAATTTGGGAAAAAATGTATAAAATATGAATGCTTATTTTTTAATGAACAGGGTTAATTGTTACAAAATGTTTACATTTGAAAATCAAAGTATATTACAAAGGTTGAATTGCTCAAATAAATGGACTCCGTATTTGTTTCAGCATTATGGAGAAAGATATTCCCATCTCTTGTTTTATGCAGATATTCCTTGTCTGCAGAAATAAAAGAAAAATAAATATGCTTGTGAGAGGTTTGTATTATTAATATTATTTTCCTTAATAACAACCTACTGTATGTTAAATATATGATTGACTGTTTATGATACCTGATATCCAATACAAATTGTAGGATTTCCACCTAATGGTGTCGTTGAAGTAATCGTCAAAGGAGAAGGGCTTTTTGGCTCCGTCAGATTCTGAAATGATGCACATGTGCTGCATGAGGGCTCACGCCAATAACAGTATCAGGAGTCCAGTTGTGAAGGAAGTGATCAGACTTTCAATATTTAAATGTAACTATTACAAATAAAAGCCCTGCCTTTAAAACATTACTCCAGCAAAAGTAAACAAGTATTAGCACCAAATACTCAAAGTAGCATTAAATGAAAATACTGAAGCTGAGTACTGGTATTTGTACATTGCAGAGGTAGGAAGTAACTAAGTACATTGACTCAAGTACTGTACAATTTTGATATAGTTGTACTTTACTTGAGTATTTCCATTTGTTGCTACTTTGCAGTTCTACTCCACTACAATTCAGAGGTAAATCGTGTACTTTTACAAAATCTATTTAATACCTTTAGTTACTTTGCAGATTTGGATGAATGATGTGAAATATAATCAACACTTAAATCAGACTTTAGTTACACCTGGATTCAAATCAGTCTCCAAAGTCATTAAAACTAGCTGCACCTTTACCAGCTTTGATAACACTTTTCATCTCTAACTATGATCAAGACATATAGGCTAATATATATTATTCTGAAATGGACAGATCTGTATAATAAGTCATTTTACTTTTGATACTTAAAGTATTTTGTTTATGTTAATACGTTTGCACTTTTACTTGAGTAAGCTTTTGAATGCAGCTGAGTATACTGCTCCCACCTCTGGTAAATTGAAGCCTACTGGAGTGTGCTTCTCACGACTGCAACAATCTAAAATGTTGATCTTTGTTAAAAATGAAAACAACCGTCCATCCTTTGACACGAGGTGGCGCTATAACTTCCAACAGCAGTCTATTGTCAATCCTCATAAGACATAGTTTATGAATGATATCCCGTTCACCATTGTCTTTTCATACACAAGTTTGTCAATGAAAGAAAACAAACAGAAAACAAAGAAATTAACTAATTTAGACCACAAAAACTCTCAAAACCAGAACAAATACTTGAAATGGACCAATCAAGTGCAGACACATTGTAATAGTTGATTTGGAAATTAGCGTTCACAGCTGTTTTTGGTTAGCTTCAAATAGGCTGCACAGACACGCAGATTGGAAGAAAAGCACAGACAGGCCTGAGCGTTAACTTACTGCTGAAATAAACTGCTGGGATCGTTATTAACGTGATGACGACAGCAGCCCCCACCACAGCCCACAGCATCTTGTTGCAGCCCTGTGAAGGTGACAAAGTTTCACAAACTGCTGCTGGAAATCTCACAAAACACGCGGACGCTGCATGTTCTCCTGTTGTAGTCTATTAAGTGAGCTCCATACTGTCAATAATAAGTAGCCTAATGTCCATTTACTAATGTCATTTGTATTTCCTCACTATTTAAGCTGATAAATCCTTTACTGACCATGATGCAGAAGTGGTCGCCGCGAAGCTCTCAGTCTTTAATAATCCTTGAAGGTCGATGGTGTGAAGTTTAAAGTCTTGGAAAAGCAGCCCGGTCAACATACTCTCACAGCCAAACGCCCGAAACAATGGCTTTACACTACATTTGGTAACATGAGAAAAGTGAGCTCCTTCCTACTCCTCACACTTCCCGCTGCATTCCTGAGAGGAGTCCGACAGCAGAGATGCCTCCCTGAAGTCTGCAGCCTGCACAACTTTCCAAGAGCGCACAACTTGCTGTTATTTAAGAAGTCGCTTTTTCATCAAGGGCGCAAGTCATTCCCTCCACAAATCTGAGAAAGCAGGAGTAGCTATAGCTACAGATGTAGCTACCACCTGGGAAAACAACTATAATAGTGTTTACAATCTTTATAATTCAGCACATGTAATGAACAAGTGAAAGTACAAGCCAGAGAGTGGACACACCTTTATTGATTGATAATACAACTGAGAAGCATTCCTCAGACAGCCAGTCAGACACACAGGTGACTTTCTGTATGAGGAAACATTATTTAGAAATGGTTCTAAAAATAGCCGCTGTGACTGGCTCAACAGTTGGATTTCATGGAAAATCAGCAGCACCTGTTTATCTGCATTTATGTGACAGGTGGGCTCTGAGGGGCTATCACAGACTCAGCGGCTGCAATCTCATGAGACCACAGGGGTTTGAGAGGACATTTTTTTTTTTTTTTTAGCATCAGTGATGCCGAATAAATGAACACACATTTTGTAATTGCTTGTTATTTCAGTAACAGTTATTTCAACATAAAGCAAATAATACCCAAACACCACCAATGAAGAATGTATATTTTGACAATCTTACATAATGTGAATAAGCCTTTTCCCCAAAAGATGATGCAAATATTGTTAATGCTTTGCAGCACATGCTTACATTCCCCACCATCAGTTATCAGACACTTCAGGGAACATTGCAGTGTAAAGGGTACAGCATCTCATGCTGTCCAAGCTAAAGAGAAGATACAATATGCTTTTGTGAGAATTACCGAGTGTGCACAGTTGTGATTCAGTCAGTCATCTTCGTCTGAGCTTTTTCCCAACTGGTGACTCCCATATTTGATGTAGTCAAAGTCAGGAAACCTCATTTTGAGGTCACTCCAACTGGTGCATTTGGTCTTCTTCTTACCGTTGAACGTCACCACAAAGTTTTTCACGTGAAGGGAGGGGCAATCGATTCCTCGGTAGAGCATCATGGAACCCCATCTCTACAACAGAAATCAGGTTTTCTAACATGAAGGGGATGATATGGTAGAATACAGCATGTATACTAGCATATTTTTTGATGGTTTTTACATTTGCACAAAATGCCATTTGTGCTCTCAGCTGAAATAGAATTTGGGAGAAAAATGGCGACCAGAGAACATGTGGCAGTCCTGGCCTTGAATGAAAATATATGGAATCATCTGGTTTTAGTTTACATCTTATGGATTCTGACTCATTTCTCCCTCACTTTTTCAGTGCAGATGAATGGTCTCATTTCCCACTTCCCACTTATTCAGTTTAAAAACAAAACTGGTCCCTCTAAGTGAAATATGCAGCCTTGAGGCTGTAACTTCATATTAAGTGAAAATAAAGCAACACAGTGTGTTTCCCAACACTTATACAAATGCTGAATACACTTACCTGTCCACAGTCTTTGCATGCTATGTAGTCATTGGTCTCAGTCTCAGAATCAAAATGCCGCTCCTGAAGAGTAGTGTTTTCTCTCTTGATGAACAGTTTTCTAAACAAAAAGGTTAGTATTTAATATGATGTTGGATACATTTGATATGCAGGCATTGTAGAATTCCTCATCAGAACATCAATCCAACTATGGTTATTACATCATAGAATAATGTAAAAAGTCGACTTTGAATAGTAATCATTACCTGAACTCTAATGAGACATTGACTCTGTGCACGTCGACCATCTGGATGTCCTCGCCGGTGCAGACATGCTTGCTGCAGCTTCGGCAGCTAAACTTCACTTCACCCTTCTCAGTCTGCATTTGTTGTTGCTGCTTCTTTTTCATTCGCATCCTCCCCTCCATGATAGCCTGCATCTGATACTCGAGTATCTGAGGGAAGGAAAAAAAACATCACTGAGAGCACCTGTATGTGCATATGTATATGCAAGAGTGTATGAATTAACATATTCATTCTTGAGTTATGGTCAAAAACGTTGTGATTGTTGTCACACCTCTAAACACCATCATCCAATAAGTTTTTCTTGCGCCAGATTTAAAATAAGTTGACTTAAATCCCTTAAGTTTTTCTGAGCTATGGCACTCAAGAATGGACATAAAGAAGGAAGGACACAGTTTTAAGTCGACGTACCCTTCTGTCATAGTCTTCTTGTTTTAAGGTTCTGATTTTGTCGATGGCTTTGTTCATCATGGTGATGCGGTACTCATTGACACACTCCTTCTCGGCCACTCCAGAGTTCTTCACATCGACCAGTGTGTAGCTGCTGTCCTCAGCTCTTCCTCTTCCTCGAGCCTGCAAAAGATTATGATAAAGTCAATGGTAAGCAACCACCAATATTTCATTGGTGCCTGTCCTAATGAAAATATAAGTGATAATCTGCAACACACACCACAGGTTATAATTCATTTGACCACTGAAATCACTGACCTGAATCATAGCAATCTCATTGGTCACGAGGCCGTATCGGATAACAAAGTTGCACGCTGCGATGTCCAAACCTTCCTCAGCCACTGTGGTGGCAATCAGCAAGTTGACTTCACCGTCGCGGAATTTGGTCAACACATCCCTTTGCTCTGCCTAATATACACACATTTGTATTTAGAGGGTGAGGTATGGTATGAATTAGATTTGAAGTGTGAAGAGACAAATGTGCTGCAGTTTGTGTAATGTGTACTTACAGAGGTCATTGGTTTTACAACGCTCTGATCTCCTGCTCCGATCACATGGTAAGCTTTCACTCCAACATCAGCAAACTTGGGGTTTTCCTGAATCCATTGGCTTAGAGCAATGGCACTGCGTCGGGTTTTGGTGAAAATGATGCCCCTGGCCTTATCTCTGCTAGTGAACTCATGCAGGACTTTACCTCGTAGTTTTGACAGGCTGTCATTTTCAAACTCTGGTTTCTCTGACAGCTGCTTCAGCTCCTTCTTCTTCCCTGCAAGACACATTTCAGAGAAAAAGTAGTTCATTCTTTGCATCATTTTAGAAGTTAAGTCATCCATTAATTTCCTTCTTTAAGACTTTTTCGGGCATCAGGTGCCTTTATTGTAGAGACAGAATTAAATCAGGGAGACAGAGGGGAAGGGATGCTAAGCTAAGCTATCACTAAGCCTTATAGTGTATTTGCAAATATGATTAAACCCATTCTTTTTATCTATGAGCAAGAAAACATTCTGATTAAACATATGATTAAATACTGTTTTAAAATGTTCCAGGACATACAGTATGAGTGTATTGAAACAAAAAGTCACAACAATACCTTCAAACAAATTGAAGAGGAATTGCTCGGTTTCTGTGGTTTTTATGACTAGCTCGGCATCTGGTGATTTCTTTTTTTTTTTCTCTTCCTCCTGGTATTCGGTCAGGAAATTCAAGGCATCACGCATGCGAATGGTGTTGCAGAGGTTCAGGCCCTCGCTGTACTGTTTGAGGTGTTCTGCGCAAACCCGCACTTTCGGATTTTCTTCCGTTGCAGCTAAAATAGATTGAGACAAGTTTTTAGATCCAAGATGCCAGGTAGTTTGCTCTCAAAAAGAGAAGTTGGGCAAAGGGCTTTTATAAAAGCACAACAGATTTTACTCACCTATCCGCTCTTTTTGAACAACCCACTGTTCATAGGTCTGAGAGCCAAGGTCAGAGGTGGGATTCAGCTCGGCATGGGTATGAATGTCATTCATGATGTTCTTGATGACATCACCAAAGGGATCCTGAAAGGACAGTGTTAACAGTGTTAATGCCATTACTCACAGAGATACTGTATCAAAAAGCTGCCATGAGGCCAAACTACAATACCTCTTTTCTGTCTTCAACAGTTTGAATGCTTTTCCTTGGCTCCCTTTTGAATTTGCCAAGGTCAGTTGTCATGATTTTGGAAGCATCCAAGTTTGCACAAATCTATCAAAGAGAGACACATACATGCATTGTTGGAATGAATCAACATCAGACATTGATGCATGTCAAGGATAGTTGAAGCCAAAGGGCTGTTTTCAATGTTGGACTTTTGGCAGCAAGAAACGTTATGGCCTGTGTGAGTGCAGGCGTCGAGGGGACAATTTGAACCAGCTTGGCAGGATGAACAGGATCCGTGATGACTAAGGCGGGGAAACTGAGCTACGATTAAGATGAACAAAAGATTTAAAAGTGAAACTAAATTAAGATGATGTTGTTTATCATGCACACACAGCAGTAAAATGTAATCAAATGATCATTGCCAAACATGATCAAATAGTGATTAGACAAAGCTCCTTGGTGATTTCCGAGGCCATAGTAACTACTAATATTATAGTAGATGCATAAGAATGTAACATGTAGTTTATATGTCATACACATAGGCTAATATGTCGTCTTTGCTTCTGTCTAAGGGAATCTGAGTATAGTAGTTACGCGCAGTATGTGGTCCTCAGCTTTCTCCATTTTGGTGGCCCCCCCGACCCCTGGTGAGGCAGTCAGGCCCAGAATCTGAGGGAGGGGCAAGGTCTTCTTTTGCTCCTTCTTCAGCCTTATGTTCTTGTGCTTCTGCTTCAAGTATCGCATCATTATGTGGTTGTACACTCCCCCTTTCTGAGTGTGGTGACACTCATCTATCACGATCAGTGTCAGATCTACAAGAAGAGAAGACGTGAAAACCAAGCATATTAATGAATGTGTTGTACAGCAGAATGGTACAATCTTGATGCAAAATAGTCTAGTTGTAACAAGAATTATCGCCTTGTTGTTGTATGGCTCGGCCAACCAGTACAGTTTGAGTTTACATCCATAGCTTAATCATTTGATCCTATTGGAAATGTGTGTAATTAAAATGATTTAGTTTTGTAAGGTCACAGCGACTTTGTTAACCAAATTCTTATCAGTTCACCTTTGTGTCCACGTGCCACATTTGAAGAAATTCCCTACACTGCTTGATATATCACAGTCACAAGAATGGGACAGACGTGATGTCACCAATGCAGAGGGATACAAAGCAACGTGGAGGAAAAGAAGAACAAAAATAACTGGTGAGTGAGTTTCTGAAGCGTTTTTCGGTAAGAATATTGTTAGGCAAGATTACTGCTTGCTTTCCAATAATATTTCCATTTCTCCATTTCTTAGTCTTACATTACTGTCCTGGGACTACAATTTTCTAAAACAAGCAGTGCTTTTTA